AATAAGAAATATTTCAACTCCAAAATTAAATCCACTATCATGAAAAAAAATAAGCAAAAGCAATTTCAAGATTGATGTTTAAAGACAAACCAGTGTTTTGAATATGTTGAGAGTATTAGTTATTTTGCATTCAAGTCTAAGATGAGCTTTAGTTAGATTCTATTGATTTGCACATATTTTGGAATAATTATGTGTTGTGATGTGTGAATATTTTAACTAAAAATAAAACCATGGATTTCAGCCCCTTTCCCACTCACCAATTTTTTTTTTACAAAGTAATTTCTCCTCCCCTACTGCCTACTGCTGACTTAAAAAATAGCTAAGGATTCTCCTCTCTTTGAACTAAACCTCTTCTCTTTCTAGATATATTTATAAAGTTATCTGAGAATTAGTTTAGCATAATAGCTTGAGATGGTCAGTCTTTGATATAGGTAGTATCAATATGAAAAAACCTCAGTAGTCTCCTTATGCATTATATATGGGCATAAATATTATAAATAGTTATTTATTACATAGTCTCTCTTAATTTCTTAGTTTCTCTTCTTGAATATCAAGAAAGACTATAATGCTAAGTTTATGTTATTTTTTTCTCTTCTGATATTATTGTTTTGCTTTTGAATGGACTAGAGGACATATTAATAGCATGACAAATTTAGCAGTAAGAGCTTGAATTCAATTTGGATTTAGGAACAAAGATGAAAATTGTTTAAATCAAATATTTAACCCCTCTACACAAGGGAAAATCTCCGTCCCAGGATATGGAGAGACCTTAATCTTAGCTCATGGTTCTTTTTACAATAAAGACTCATCTCTCATTGTTGTAAATTATCACATGGAATAATTTCTACTAAAAAAAATCTCTTATTGTAGCATGATCACTTCAATAACATTTCAGAGTAAAGCATTTCTTACTTTATAATATATATATATATATATATATATATATATATATATATAGCATTTTCATTCTATTCATTTTGTTTTGCTTTAACTTATCTTGATCTCCACATACTGTTTTATTTTTCTTTAAATATCTGACCAAAGCAAAGCAAAAATTAGTATAATCATATTTTGTAGCTCCTCTCTCCTACCTGTATTGGCAGCTTCTGACAGCCAATGGTGAAAATTCAAAGTCAAGCCATTTAACTCTTAAGTAGATGGAAATACATTTTTATAGAATAGGTAATTTTGTCATATGAACAAAAGACACAGTTGTACACTGACACAAGGATGGAGATGTAAATATGTGATTGTGATAGCTGTTTATATACCAGATATATGTAATCAGGGTTAAAACATCATAAAATATCTTCATCTCTACATACTAGTACACTGATACATAGATTTTAGAGGTGGGGACAACACAAAATGAGAAAGTTAAATGCCAACTGCAGCCCTTTTGGTTGGATGAGTGCCAAAGCAACTTTCAAAATATTTCAAAACAGCTGCCAGCATGTAAAGATTTTAACTGAAGGAGCAGAATAATGAAATCTGAATTACTAATGAGCAAAGAAACTCATATTTCGCTTAAGGTCTGTAATGACATGGAGCTAAGCAGATCCAATAAAGAATTTGTCTCATACACGCAGACCAAAATTCCCAAATTATCCATGTAAGGGCAAAATTCTGAAACAGACTTACATGCATTCTAAGGTAGCCTACTGTGCAAGTCTTCTTTGAGTATTCTGTGTATTTTTATTATAGAGAAGAAAGTTTCTGGAGGGCAGGAGACATAGTAATTCTCAAATATGGGTAGTTGAAAGCTTGGAACTTTGAAGTTGAATGTGCTCATTAAACTGTATTTTAATGTTATATAGTATAATTGAAGTAGCTTCAGCATATCTACTTTTAAATGTCTATCAACAGATCTCACTATTCTTTCAACTGGGACAATTCTGCTCTTTGGGCTTCCAAGAAAATATTGCCCTCCAAAAGGGAAGGGAAGCAGGACCACATATTTCTATACCAACTATTCAATAAAATAAGTAGTTAATAAAATATCATCATTTTTATCCATAGAATCAGTATTGAGACAATGAACAAATAATGGTGATATTATCCACAAATGATGTACCATCGTTGTTGATGGTACAGAAAGCCTTTACCAGGGAAAGTAATTTATAAAAAAATTCTGCTCTTTTGGCCAAAGAGGGTTTCCCACCCTTTGGCGTCAGTTGGCACATTGGGATTGCCTCAGGGTCAACAGGACGGTGTGTAGTGCACTGGAGTCCAAGGGCACGTGGAAGCAGGAGCCACTTGCTCCAAGCCTGCATCCAAGCCTGCATCAACTGGTTGGCCAAGGCACAGTAGCACTCCACAATGGACCAATAGTTCTGACAAATGCTATTCTATGGAAAGCCACTGCCTGCGTCTGTGTTCATCTTTAGTCAGTTTACTAGGCTTCCTTTGGCCTACAGTATGCCATCCTTGACCTGTGCAGTCAGAGGAGAACTTTTCCCCACCCCTGAAATAGTCCTGGTCTCTCTAGAATTGGCATGAACTTTCAACAGGAAAGCCTGCGCAGAGCGGAGGGATATTTGAGATCTCCTCTTCCATTCCGGCCCTGTGGGTGAGGGGAAGATTGCAGAGAGGCAAGTTAACCCGCATGGCCTGCCCCCTGTCCTCCGAGTGGGAAGAGGACCCACATCTGTGACCCGAGCCTCACAGGGTGGCTTTCCACCTACCCAGGCCCTCCAGCCCTTTCACCCCTCCCTCATTCAAAGGCCTTGTGTTTGGCCAATGAAATGCCTTAAGTTAGAAAATAACCCCATCCCAGGAAGACGGGAGTCAGGACCTCGGTTAGGTCTAACTAGTGGGGACCCCAGCGCAGGCCACAGATGCTCATTAGGATTCTCTTTACGTGCAACACGTGGGGGACGAAGTAGTGTCATATCTTCTGATATTATCTGCCGTCCACAGCATTTTCATTGAGAGGAGAATGGAAACGCAGCTGCGCCGTGGGCCCCGCCAGCCAGAGATGGGGCTCCCTCCCTCTGTCTCCCGCCGCTGCTGCCGGGCGGAGGCTCCTCCGGAACTGAACCCCAGTCAGGGGAGCGCAGAGGTGGCCCGGGCCAGAGCTGGCGGCCGCGGGCCGGGCCGCAGACGGGCCTTTGTGCGGTTGGCCGTTTTCCGAGAGCCACGAGGATGGAAGGGGACTCGCAGGTCTGTGGCTAGTGCAGGCGTCTGGCCCCTGGACCCTGCGCGGGGCTGCTGGGCTGGTCGGTCCCTGCCGCTCTTGGCCTTGGCAACTTCTGGCCAATGGGTCCTGCCGGCACCGCCCAGGTTCAAGGGGTTGAGCAGGTGCCCCGCCCGGCCAGGCGCTGTTGCTGGAGGTCGGGGCTGCGGGACCCGCGGCCACCTCGCTCCACCAGCCCAACTTGGGCTCGCGTGGCGGGCGCGGCGGCCACTTGTCCCCCGGCTGCCGGTCCGGCGCCTCGGAGCGCGGGAGACGAGGGATGAACGAGGTGGAGAAACCAGCAGCAGCACCAGCAAGTGGGTTCGGGGTGCGGGAGCGCTAGAGGAGGGCAGCCCCAGCCCCGCTTCGCGCCGAGACTGCACCCTGTGACTGCACCGCCGGTCCGGCCGGATAGCCTAGGATAGACGCAGGAGGTGGGAAGACATGGGGTCCCGGCAGGGGTGGAGGAACCATTCTCAGCGCCCCCACCCAGTCAGCCAGCCGAGAAGTGCAAGTTATCACTTAAAAGGCGCGCCCACACCAAGCATCGCTCCTCGCCCCCTAAGGAAACAGCGATGTGACGATCTGGAGCACTAACTGGGAGACCCGAGGAAATAAACGCACGTGTTCTCTCTTTTTGTTTCCCTGGTGGTTGGAATTTGCAGAGTTCTCTTCAGTTGTGGCTACTAAGTTATTGGTTCCATCGTTCGAAAGGGGCTTTAGAGATGGATGGGGTGAGGTGGGGGGGGGGGGGCACACCCGATCCCTCTAGACCTATAGTCCCCACCTCGCAAGTTTGTCCAAGACCAACCCGCCCTCCCACGAGGAGCGAGGAGAGTCCCTTCTCCTAAAGGGAACAAACTCTCCATCGCACAAAAGCGGGTTTCCCTCCCCTCCTCCTTTGCACACTACCGCTCCCCGACAAGCATCAAGTTCTCCAGCAGTCCAACTCCAAGTTGGCAGCCCTAGCGCTGCCTGGTGTGCAGGAGACGGACCGAGAGGGGTCCGGGCGGGGAGGGGAAGCTCTGCGGGGCCCCCGTTCCTGCACACGCAGGCTGGAATCCAGGTTGCTGGAAGCCACGGGAGGCGCGAGCCTGCCTGGACTGTGGAAAGTGTTTCTCTAGAGAAAAGAGGGAATAGAGCGCGCTTGTCCTGC